GAGGGAGCCGCGGCGCCTCCGCTGAGCGCTGATGTGTGGGCAGAATTCCATCTCTGTGCGCCATCGCGCACCAACAATGGCCCGCTGCCATGAATATTGGCTCTTCACACCTCGGTCGAGGATTCAGCCGCGGGTGTGATAACGTGCCATCCCAAAACTGAGGGTTATGTAATGTCAGCACTGGCCGTTACCGTCAGTAACTGCCCCTGAGGCGGGCGCGGATCTGGCGCCCAGCCCCCGGCAGCCCGGCTCTGCTGAGGGAGGACCTGCACCTCGCCTCCAGCACCTGCGAAGCCGTGGGCTCGTTTTACAGTTTAAAGTGAAAGGAAGTAGGGTGGTTGTGTAAAGCACAGCGAATCCTCTGCTTGTCATGTGCCAAAAAAAAAAAAGAAGTCTTAAGCTTTTATTGGAGAGTGGGTGATTTCCTGCTAAAGATGGGCACAGGAACTCTGGGATCTGACCCATCTAAAGCTCACCTGAAATTCGCATAAACAGTGACTTCCACTGGTCCCTTTGTGAGCCGGTTTGTCCCAAAGCCAAGATGCAGCTGAGAATCCTGATGTTTGCAGAAATAAATATATTAACAATGTGAATGACTGGCTTAATCTTTCACCTTTACATAATAGTATCTTTATTTTTCTCTGATGTGTGTTTCACACAGCAGAACCCATGTTTATTATCCTCCTGTCCAAACAGAGTGTACTTATCCACGTGAATGCGGATCTGAGTCCCACAGTTGCCTTCCTTGACACAAGTTGTGAATGTCAGGAGACATCACCTAAAACTCTTTCCCTACCACAATCCTTTCAGCACCACAACCAGTACCCTCACCCCAACAACAAGAAGTGAGGGCACTTTACAGAACTGCTTAGGATTTAAAAATAATAATGTACGTATAGAAAAAATCATTGCAAAATAAAAAGCCTAGACTGCCTGAAATAAAAATATACTGTGTTTGGCTGCCATCCAGATTTCCGAGTTATTCCAGGTCTGGTAGACTGAGATGCTGAATATACAGATCTCCAGGAGAAGCCAAGGGCTCAGCATCTGTACAAGTCCGGCCTCTTATCTTCCGGATCAAAGAACAAATCCTCTCTCTAGGACTGCTCTGCACTTTTAACCTCACAGAATCTTCCCCTACATATTACTAGTTTCACACAACGCTCACACTTCAGAATAGTGTAAATTGCAAGTAATGCCATGGCTAAACAAGTATTACATGAATGTAAGCGCAAAACTGTACCCAGAGTCCTCAATAAATTAAAATATAAATATAGTACTGCTGGATTACCTCAGCTGCAAACATAATTCTGATTGTGGATTTTTCTAACGTAAAACACGTAGTTTTAATATTTTATTTGAAATAGAAATAAAACTAAAACCATTTTCTTAAGTTATACCATATTTTTGTGGTGGTGTTCTTCACAAAAAGAAAAAAAAAATCATATCAGGGTAGGTTCTGAAGGCTCCTTTCACCTTATTCCATAATCTATTGCCACACAAACAAAGAAGCAATCAACTGTTCTGTAATGTAATTGTTCAGTAGATTTGTGGAGTCAAGGTCACCAAGATCCAAAATCCAAGGATCTACTTCTCTTCATTGGATATGCTCTTTCCCTCCCAGTCTTGCAGAACAGGAAACACCAGTCATTATAAGCAGGTAGTAGATCTCAGTGTACCATACATTACAGCATTTCCAACACAAACAGACACCTGTTTTTCACAGAACTTTGGTCTGAGAAGCAGATATGGAAAGAGAGTCACGGGTGCAAAAAGATTAAAATATGTTCAATTTATATGTTTAATAAACAGTGCACTCTCTACCCCTTTTCCCTCACCACTACTTGACAAAATTCTGGTGTGCAGTAAGTCAGAAGTGGCTGGGTTTTACTCAGACAGCATTTTAAGATCTGCCAAAAGCTGTGTGTAAACTGGATCCTACCTTTGTCACAGCATCCCATGCCAGCTTCCCTGGTGACTTAATTACAGATGCTGTGCCTTGTGTCAACAGCCTCTGATCACCCGCTCTATCTGCCTCATCTGCTGGGAAACACTTGCTTTGGATAAGCCTGTATGGCCTGTTAGACTGTGATAAAGGCGCCAATACTCACTTTCCATGCTGGGATGGTATCTTAGCGAATACTGACTTATACATGTTGAGTTCTGCAGCTCAGGATGGAAAGGTGGGGTGATTACTCCAGAGATCTCTGCACTGAGCTTTAACAATGAAGAATTAAGGGAAGTTAATCATGGGCCATGCAGCTAACTTCCTAAGAGGCTTAATTATAAATGTTGTGCAGTGTACAACTGCAAGAGAGGATGGGTGCTGGCTAGTGAATGTGTCTTCTGAAATTACTTGCATGAATGTAAGATGAAGCTGAAGATTTAGGAGATAAACATTTTCTTAAAAATGTAGAAGAATATTCCGAATTAGGAAACAGCAAGAGAAAGTAGTGTACTATAAACAACTGAATTGTCTCCAGTTCCTAACTGACAACTAAACAGCACTTGAAAATTAAACATAACACTCATGTAATAGTAAATTAAAGAAACTGGTTATAGTTGCATCTGCTTGTCAAGTGAAACTTCTCTTCCCATTTATATTTATCACTTAAAATGTATTTGCCTAGTTATTATCCTTGGTGTACTTTTTCTCACTTCTTAGGCAGTCTGTTGAAAATTACTGATAGTTTCCAGTGAGCTGAGGGCCTGTGGAAACTAGGAGTTGCTAAGTGCCTCAATCTTGCACACAGTCAGGCCCACAGTGATCTGAACATCATCTCATCACGGGAAAGAAAGGACATGAGAACATAAACAATGACAAATATAGCCAATGACACTAAAAATGTCAGAAAATTAAACAAAGTGGGTGCAAATATAAAGGCAAAGTAGAGCCATGATTGCCAGTCAGAAAAACAGCTGAGTAGGAGTGTGCAGTTTAAGAAACCTCTGAAACTGCATACATTATGTTTAGATTAGATGGAGGAGAGTTTCATAACTAACAAAGACTACTGCAATTATGCTATGGGTAGGTCAACACCATAACAAAAAATATGTTCTCACTGAAGGTAATGGGAAAAAAATCCCTTTTACTTGACAGAACCACAAAAAAGTCACAGTTCATCATCTAAACAGATCTCCGTTACTGTGGTCGTGATTGTGAAAGGATGACTTTCTCCATTATTGTGTATTACAGGTTACTGGTGAATGCAGCACAGTACAGAGCATTATCTGATTTAACTGGGAACACTACCTGCACGTCCAGGGTGATTCACACGCTCTCTGCTATGCCCATACCCCTCCCATGCCAGGTGGCCTGGGCTTGTTGTGAGCAGAAGATGAGGCAATACTCTCCTCCTTTGCTTCTCCTTGCCTCCTGATTACATCCCCCGTACCACCAGGGCACACAGGGCTCTCCACATCACTTCAATCCTAAACATGAGACACAAGTAGGAGTTAGTACCATGCTGTTAGGGGGTTAGATAACGATTCTGCTGCTTCTGAGCCCACATTGTGGTTTCTCCTGCAGCCTTATGAAACCCCTGTGAGGAGCTCAGTTGGCCTCGAGCTGCCTTTCCCCGAGTAGGCTGCCCTGGGGGAGGGCAGGTGGAACTTTCTGGAAGCTCCATTCCCCAAGCACTGGAGGCGAGGCTTGGGTCTGCCGATGGCAAAGGCAGAGCCATTCCCTGGGGAAGGGGCTTCAGCCCTCCTGGTGGTGGTCCTCGAGATTCCTCACACATTGGATGGGTGAGGAACGCAAGTTCCCATTGGGGCCACCAGTCCCCATCATGGCTTTCAACAGTGACCCATTGAGACCCCTCAAGTTTCACAGAGAGGGCAGCTGCCCAAGGCAGGAGCACCTCGGCCAGCTCATCGAGAGGTGCCTGGGGGGCTGCTGAGGGCAGTCAGTGGCTGTCCCCCCTCCTCAGGGTCCCAGCAAGGAGCACTGAGAGGGACGGGCGCCTCGATGGGACTGTAGGCATGGGAGGCT